ACAGTGCAGGCCTGGGCGAGCCTGTCGAAGCAGAGTCTGAAGGTTTGGTTTGCTGTTTGCTGCTCTGCTGCTGCTGTTGGGGGCGGCAGCAGCTGCAGCAGCTGCAGCAGCCGAATCACGAGGAACGGGGAGGGCAGCCTCTGCTGCTGCTGCTGCTGCTGCTGCTGCTGCTGCTGCTGCTGCTGCTTCGGGGCCTCATCCCAAAGCATCCTGGCGAGGCAGTGCAGCACGGAAGACCGGACAGCAACCCACCCGCCTGCTGCTTCAGCAGCAGCAGCGCCTGCTGCTGCTGCAGCTCTGCTGCTGCTGCTGCTGCTGCTGCTGCTGCTGCTGCTTGGTTTGTGCCTCAGCAGCAGCCCCAGCAGCAAATGCGACAGCGACAGCACTGTGTCTGGGTCCTTTTCAATCATGAGGCTCTGCGTGAGTCGATAGAGCCACACGTCGAGCTGCTGCTGCTGCTGCAGCAGCAGCTGCTGCTGCTGCTGCAGCTGCTGCTGCTGCTGCTGCTGCAGCGGAGATATCCTGTGCAGCGTGAGCAGCGCCACGTAGGCCCTCTGTCTGCAGCAGTCGGGGTTCCTTGCTGCTGGGTTTGCGAGGCACTGAACCAGGGGCAGCAGCTCGTCTGCTGCTGCTGCTGCTGCTGCTGCTGCTGCTGCTGCTGCTGCTGCGCCCTGCGCCTGAGCTGTACATACACCCCACACTTGCTGCAGCGCCAAACACTGCAGCAGCGGCACTCCCGAAATGAGGTCTGCTTTGACGGCTTCTCGCAGCTGCAGGGCCCAGCCTTGCTGCTGCTGCTGCTGCTGCTGCTGCTGCTGCTGCTGCTGCTTCCTGTTGAAGCGGCGCTTGAGCTGCTGCAGGCGGTCGCCGCTGCTGCTGCTGCTGCTGCGCTTGGGGGCCCTCAGCAGCTGCTGCGGGGCCCCCAAAATCGGCAGCAGCAAAAGGGCCTCGTAAGCAGCAATTCGGTAAGAAATCTTCTCCTGCGTCAGCAGCAGCAGCGCTGCTGCTGCTGCTGCTGCTGCGAGGCCCTGCTGCAGCGCGTGGCCCCTGGAGTGTACGTACACCAGGCGCCACAAAGCCCGAGCAGCAAACCCCACATCTTTTTCTCTTTCCAAATCCCCCAGCTGCTGCAGCTGCTGCAGCAGCTGCTGCAGCTGCTGCTTCACCAGGGCCCGCTCGCCCCGCGCCGAGCTGCAGCTTTCCACCTCAGCAGCAAAACTCTGCAGCCCAGTCTTCATTCCTGCTGCTGCTGCTGCTGCTGCTGCTGCTGCTGCTGCTGCTGCTGCTGGGGCAGCAGCCGCGGGCAGACGCGGCTAGCTGCTCTGGACGCTGCTGCTGCTGCTGCTGCTGCGGCGAGGCGCAGTGCAGCAAAGGGGGGGCTGCTGCTGCTGTCTGCGCAGCAGCAGCAGCCGCAGCAGCAGCAGCAGTTGCTGCTGCTGCTGCTGCTGCTGCCGCCGCTTCCACCGATCAAAGGCTCAGGGCAGTCAGCGAGATGTGCCCACAGCCACTGCCGCCGCGCACGAGATCGTTTAGGGTTTAGGGTTTAGGGTTTAGGGTTTAGGGTTTAGGGTTTAGGGCTTAGGGTTTAGGGTTTAGGGCAAGGGTCCGCAGTCTCTAAAATTGTTTCAAAAAACAAAAAAAGCTTTTGAGTGTCAGTAGATCCCCAGAGATGGAAGGCCGCAGATAGCTAGCGCCCTCTGCGCTTGAGGGTTTAGGGTTTAGGGTTTAGGGTTTAGGCGCCCCTGTGTGCTGGCAGAAGACCCTGCTCCGCGATGACTGCGAATCAGGGTTTAGGGTTTGGGGTTTAGGGTTTAGGGTTTTGAGTCTAAACCCTGGAAGCACACAAAGGCAGCCGCTGCCGACTACACGCTGCAGCCCTGCATGCTCCACGGGGTCTGGGGTTTAGGGTTTAGGGTTTAGGGTTTAGGGTTTAGGGTTTCTTGAAGACTCAGTTAAGGACATTTTTGCCAATTTTTGCTCTACAGATACTTACGTTACTTTCTTCCCGCTTCTGCTGCTACAACTGGGGTCCTGCAGCAGCAGCAGCAGCAGCAGCAGCAGCAGCAGCAGCAGCAGCAGCAGCACTGGCAGTGGCAGCATCTCGTTGCTGCGCTGCAGCACAGCAGCAAACCCCACGGCTTCCTCCGGCGCAGCAGCAGCCGGAGCAGCAGCAAGAGCTGCCCAACTGCAACCCCAAACCCTAAACCCTAAACCCTAAACCCTAGCCCGAATCTGTTCTGAACAAGGCGCCGGGCTGCTTTTTCGCTGCTTCCGCAGCAGCAGCAGCAGCAGCAGTGCCACCGAGGAGAACAAGTGCAGCAGCAGCGGCCGCAGCAGCTGCAGCCACAGCAGCAGCAGCAAGAACAGCAGCAGCAGCAGCAGCAGCAGCAGCAGGAGCTGCACGCTGCAGCCTTCTGCGACGAGCACTTCGGCGCCTCGCGCCTGGCTTTGCCGCGGCGCCTGCCCAGGGTTTAGGGTTTAGGGTTTAGGGTTTAGGGTTTAGGGTTTAGGGTTTAGGGTTTAGGGTTTGGAAGATGAACGACGAGGTGGTTTTGGCGGACGGGCTGCGGGTGAGCGTGCCTGTGTGGACTTCGAAGTCGGCCTTCTCGGAGCTGCAGCAGCAGCAGCAGCAGCAGCAGCAGCAGCAGCAGCAGCAGCTGCGGATGGAGCGGGTGGTGAACGCAGCAGGAAGTGCAGCAGGAGCTGGCAGCGACTTCTTCAACTTGTACAGAAAACACCGCGACAAAGAGCTGCTGCGGCTGCGGGAAATGGACTTGGCATTTATTTCAAAAGTGGAAGAAGAGGAGTTTTTGCTGCTGCTGCTGGCTGCTGCAGCGAGGCCGCCGGCGGGGAGTCCGACGGCAGCAGCGGCGGCTCGCCTGCTGCTGCTGCTGCTGCTGCTGCTGCTGCTGCTGCTTCGCCCTTCCCCGCCAGCAGCGCGGGGACGCCCGCGACGGCCAGCAGCAGCAGCAGCAGCAGCAGCAGCAGAGGGAGCAGCAGCAGGTCCCAGTGGTCTGCTGCTGCGCCCGCCCCTGGCAGCAGCGCCGGCCTGGCCCCGTCCCCGTTTGCTGCTGCTGCTGCAGCAGAAGCAGCAGCAGCAGCAGCAGCACCAGCACCAGCAGCAGCAGCAAGCGAGGCAGAGTCCGAAGAAGTCGACCCCGCAACTCTGCCCATGAAGCCCCAAGTCTTCATCCGGGATGAAGAATGACAAGGGTTTAAGGTTTAGGGTTTAGGGTTTAGGGTTTGGGGTTTTAAACCCTTGCCAGTGCAGCAACAAACTCGTTTGTTCCAAACGCCTTCATTTTGCATCCATGTCTGAACGCGGGAATCAGGGTTTAGGGTTTAGGGTTTAGGGTTTAGGGTTTAGGGTTTAGGGTTTTAGGGTTTAGGGTTTATTACTTTTTTTAATTTTCAACTTTCGATGAAATTATTGAATTTTCGTTTTCAAGAAGAGTCCTTTTGGTCTTGTCTTCTTGTTTTCGCTGGCAGCTAGCCACAGCTAGCTGCCAGCTAGCCACAGCTAGCCACAGCTAGCCACAGCTAGCCACAACTAGCCACAACTAGCCACAACTTGAGCTAGCCACAGCTGGCTGCAGCCAGCCACAGCCAGCCACAGCTAGCCACAGCTAGCCACAGCTAGCGAGGAAAAATGTCGCGTTCTGTGGAGTCCCGGGCTGCAGTCTGTCGTAGCTAGCTAGCTGGCTAGCTGGCTAGCTAGCTAGCTAGCCAACAGGCAGGCTGAAGGACCTCTGGCTAGCCAGCTAACTAGCTAGCTAGCTAGCTAGCTAGATAGCTACCTGGATATCCAGCTAACCGAACAGCTCGACAGGTAGCTGGCTAGGTGGCTACCTATCTGGCTAGCTAGCTAGCTAGCTAGCTGGCTAGCTGGCTGTCTAGCTGGGGCGCCAAGCGCAGGCAATCAGCTAGCTTCTGAAGGAGCAGCTACCTCTGTGGCACTGCTGACTCGGCAACGTAGCGACACAGCTAGCTAGCTAGCTAGCTAGCTAGCTAGCTAGCTAGCTAGCTAGCTAGCTAGCTACTCGCCGAGCCCCTAGGCGCCTATCTACCTGGGAGGGGAATCACATAACGCGTAGCTAGCTGGCTAGCTAGCTAGCTAGCTAGCTAGCCAGCTAGCTGTAGGTGCATCTGAGTGCGTCTGAAGGGGCAAGAGAGGCCGGAAAGGCTAGCCACTAGACCTAGCTAGCTAGCTAGCTAGCTAGCTAGCCAGCCAGAGATTCGTGAGGAGCCACTTAAGTCCGCAGTAAGCTAGCTAGCTAGCCAGCTAGCTAGCTAGCCAGCTAGATGCGGCGCTCCTCGAGTTCGTAACAAACCAGCTAGCTAAGCAACTGGGCAAGGACCTAGACTGAAGCTCCAGCTACCTACCTAGCTAGCTGGATGGCTAAGTGGCTAATTTATTAGCTAGCTAGCTAGTTAGGTGGCTGATAAGTGGCTAACTAATTAGCTAGCTAGCTAGCTAGGTGGCTGAAAAGTGGCTAACTAATTAGCTAGCTAGCTAGCTAGGTGACTGAAAAGTGGCTAACTAATTAGCTAGCTAGCTAGCTAGGTGGCTGAATAGTGGCTAACTAATTAGCTAGCTAGCTAGGTGGCAGAAAAGTGGCTAATTTATTAGCTAGCTAGCTAGCTGTCTGGCTGAAGAGTGGCGAGTAAACTGGGCGGGTGGCTAGCTAGCTGCCGAAGTGCCTGCTAATTCCTTATCTGGTTAGCTAGCTAGCTAGCTAGGTGGCTAGCTAGCTAAGTGGCTGCAAATTCCTTAGCTAGCTAGCTAGCTAGCTAGCTAGCTAGCTGAGCATTGGCGAGGCTGGAGAGATGGAATCAGGACTTAGAAAGAGGCGTTTGGCGTTTGGTGAGGAAAATGGCGCATGGGCGCTGCAGCGCTTGCTGCGGGGCCTGTGGGGCTGGCAGCCGCAGCTGCTGCTGCTGCTGCTGCAGCAGCAGCAGCAGCAGCAGCAGCAGCAGCGGGGCGTTTAGACCTTGGAGGAGAGGACCATTGGAGTCTCCTTGGAGACAGCCATGGCGAGGGGCGCGGGGGCCTCCTTGGAGAGGGCGAGTGGGAGTTCTGCTGCAGCAGCAGCAGCAGCAGGTTCCTTGGAAGCAGCAACAGCAGCAGCAGGCAGCACGGGGGCCTTGGACTGCAGCAGCAGCGGCGCAGCAGCAGCAGCAGGAGCAGCAGCAACTTGGCGGCACTTGGTGGTGTACTTGGTCTCCGTGCAGGGGTAGGGCTGCTGCTTGAGGACTTCGTTGTAGCAGGTTTTGGAGACAGTGAAGTTTTGCTGCTGGCACTGCTGCTGCAGCTGCGTCTTGCTGCAGTCGAACTGCTGCTGCTGCGGCACCTCTCGGAAGCAAGTTTTTTCGACAGCAAAAGGGACTTGTTTGCATTCCCTTTTTGGACAGTCAAAGGGGACTTGAACGGGGACACTTTTGCTGCAGGTCTTCTCCACGAACTTGCATTCTTTTTGCTGCACCGTTTTGCTGCAGGGGTATTCTTCTGCTGCAGCAACGGCGCGCATGCACGTGTCAGTGAAGGAGACAGGCTGCATGCGGCACTGCTCTTTGAACTGTGTCTCCGGACAAGAATAAGGGACTTGGATGGTCTTTGGTCTCTGACAAATGCCATTAACTGTTACTGGCAGCTGCTGGCACTGCTGCTGCAGCTGCAGCTTCGGGCAGGGGTAGTTTTGCTGCTGCGGCACTTGTCTGCTGCAGCTGCTGGGCACCTGCACGGGCACGCTGCGGCACTGCTGCTGCAGCTGCGTCTTGCTGCAGCTGTAGGGCCTTTGCTGCTGCACCGTTTGGAAGCAAGTGTCGGGGACTTCGAAAGGGACTTGTTCGCAAACTTCTTCAAACTCTGTCTTGCTGCAGTCCTGCTGCTGCTGCTGCGGCACCTCGCGGAAGCAGGTCTTGGAGACAGTGAAGGGGACAGTTCTGCAGGTGGGGGCCGCCTTGAGTCTCCGCATCTTGCAGTGCTTCCCCTTGCACAGCGGCGCAGCAGCAGCAGCAGCAGCAGCAGCAGCAGCAGCAGCAGGGTCTTCCGTGCTGCACTCGGTCTTGTACTCCGTCTTGGGGCACTCGTAAGCCTCCTTAACCATCACAGTTTTCGTACAAGTGCTCGGGACTTGCACTGGGACTTTTCTGCACTGCTGGCGGACTTCAGTTTTTTTGCATTTATAGGGTTTCTTTGTCTCCACAGTTTCATAACAAGTGTCGGGGACTTCAACTGGGACTTGTTCGCATTGCTGCTGCATTTGTGTCTTGCTGCACTTGTATTCCTCATTAACCATAACTGTTTTTTGGCAAACATCCATCACGGACTGAGGGACATTCTTGCACTGTTGTTTGAACTCTGTTCTCGGACAAGAGTAGTTTTCTTGAATGACTTCTTCGCGAAAACAAGTTTTTGCAACTTGAAAAGGCACTTGTTCGCAAACTCTTTCTTGGCGAGTCTTTTGGCAGGGATAAGGCTGCTGCTGCTGCACTTGGCGAGTGCAGGTGGAAGGGACTTCTCGGGGGACCATTCTGCACTCCTCTTTGCCGCAGGGGAAGCTCTGGAGGGAGACTTCCGTGCGGTGGCAGGTCTTTGGGACATCAAAACATTCTGTTTTGAACTGAGTTTGCGGACAAGGATAGGCCTCTTTCTGAGTCACTGTGCGCGTGCAAGTGTCGGGAACTTGCACAGGAACGGACTTGCAAACTTGCCGGCTCTCCACCTTGTCGCAGGGGTACGCCTCCTTCACGGCCACGTCGCGGTAGCAAGTCGCGGCAGCCTGGTAAGGCACCTGCTCGCAGACTTCGCGGGTTTCCTTGGCCGCCGCGAGCGCCAGAAACGCCCCCGCGCAGACTATGCGCACTCCAAACACCATCTTCGCGAGAAAGCAGAAAAAACGAGAAAAAAAGAACCGAAAACGACCGAAAACGCGCCGCCGAACCTGCTCGGATGGGAACTCGAAACTTTTCTTCTGACTCTCCCCATTCCCTCCTTCCCGCCCCCAAAAACAACTCCCAACGCCAAAGCCACGGAGAAGTCCGAGGCAGGCAGGCCGGTCCGCGCGCGCCGCCCGCCGCCGCCGCCGCGCACCGCTCGCCAACGCCGCCTATCCGGCCGCCCGTCTCCCGCCCCCCCGCCCTGTCCTTCCTTCCCAAATAAACACCTTTCTCTCCCCCAAAAAACTACGCCAAATTCCTCCCAAAAACGCCCCGACAAACCCCCGACAAACGCCCCATCCGCGCGCCGCCGCCGCCGCGGTGTCCGCGGTGTCTGCGCAGACACCCCAACCTGCACACTGCGACAAACCCCCGATCCGCACGGAAAGCTCCACTTTTCGGAGTTTTTCGACTTCTCCGCGAAATCCTCCGCAGTTTTTAACCCCAACGCAGCTTTAAACGCGCAAATCCGCCGCCTCCAACCCCAGCAACGGCCCCTGCTCGCCGCAGCCAACAACTGCGACGGCCGACGCCCGCCGTCTTCTTGAAACTCGCGAAAACTCTACCGATTTCCCAGAAAAAAGCTTTTATTTCCGCCTTCTAACTCCGAAACTTCCTCCTTTCCCCTCCTTTCCCTCCGTTTCAGGCCCTTTCCCGAAAAATTCCCGCCAGAAAACACGCCAGCAGCAGCCGCTGCTGCTGCTGCTGCTGCTGCTGCTGCTGCTGCTGCTGCTGCTGCAACCCCCGCCTCTGCCCGAAATTCCGAATTCAAATTTCGCAAATTCGAAAATTCGAAAAGCTTTCGCGAGACTCGGGTGTACAGACACTCCGCCGCAACACTCCACCGGCGCTGCCCGCCAGGAGCCACGGAAGGTCACTTTTGAAAAACAAACAAAACAAAGTCTTCTGCAAAAACACACCTTCTCACCACCCTTCTAAACACTCTGCTGCTACTTTCGCATGCAGAAGCTCAGGCTTTTTAGCAGTTTCAAAGAAGTGACCCTCAACGCAACCTCCTGCTGCTGCTGCTGCTGCTGCTTCTGCTGCTGCTGCTGCTGCTGCTGTTCGTTGTTTGGCTTCGCGTTTCCGCTGCTGCAGCGGCAGCTCGCGGTTGTTCCAGCTGCTGCTACGTTGCTTCTGCTGCTGCTGCAGCACCTCGCGGCTGTTTTCTTCCTTCTGCTGCTGCAGCAGCAGCTCCCAGTTGTTATCTTGCTCCTGCTGCTGCACAGCAGCAGCTAGCAGTTGTTGTCTTGCTTCTGCTGCAGCAGCAGCACCTTTGCATTCCTTTTGCTTCCTCCGGCTCAGCACACCGGCACCTTATTTCGTCCCTGCTGCAGCAGCAGCAGCAGCAGCAGCAGCAGTAATTACACTCCAAGCTGCAGCTGCAGCAGCAGCAGCAGCAAATGACACGTTTCCTTCTAGCTGCGCCTGCAGCACCAACTACGTCCCTTTAAAGCTGCAGCATCAGCAGCAAATATACTCCTTTCAAGCAGCAGCAGCAGCGGCTATGTTTCTCTTAAGCTGCAGCAGCAGCAGCAGCAATGTTTCTCTTAAGCTGCAGCAGCAGCAGCAGCAGCAATGTTTCATTTAAGCTGCAGCAGCAGCGGCTACGTTTAAGCTACAGCAGCAACAGCAGCAGCTGCGTGTCTGCTGCGGCGGCCGCTAGCTCGTGCTGCAGCAGCAGCAGCAGCAGCAAACTGGCTAGAAATGGACTTGAAAGCAGCAAAGAAAAGTCCCTTTTTTTATTTTGGTTGAAAAGAAAAAGCAAAAAGAAAAGTCGCGGGGACTGCCCCGCGGAGGTTGAATTTGGGGTGTACGTACACCGCAGCGCGGCGGCGCGCCGCTGCTGCGCTCCGCGGGGGCAGCAGCAGCAGCAGCAGCAGCAGCAGCAGCAGCAGCAGCAGGTTCGGTGGAAGGAGAGTGTAAAATGTTGCGCTGCTGCTGCTCTAGGAGCGCGCATTGGCCTCGGGCCTGGCGTCCTGGTTGTGCTGCTGCTGCGCCTTCTGCTGCTGCTCGTCTGCTGCAGCAGCAGCAGCAGCAGGGGCGCCCTCCTCCTTCTCGGCCTGCTGCTGCTCGCCCGGCGCAGCAGCAGCAGCAGCAGCAGCAGCAGCAGCAGGGGGGGCCCCCTCCTGGTCAAGGGGGGCGTCCAAGTCCCGCAAGTCGGCCTCGTCGTCGGAGTCCTCGTTGTCGAGGCCCCCCAGGGGGCCCCCCAGGGGGCCCCCCTCCCCGAGGCCCCCGAAGTCGAGGGGCCCCTGGGGGGCCCCCCCGAGGCCCCCGAAACCCATCGAGTCCATGTCGAAGTCCCCGAAGTCCCCCAGGGGGCCCCCCTCTTCTTCTTCGGAGTCCACCCATTTGCTCCAATCGCACTTTATGAAATGTTGCTTTTCTTTGCAAACTCTTCTCCATCTTTTGGCTTCTTTCTTCACCAACTTGAACTGCACGTTCCGCTGAGTGCTGTACTTGCTCTCCTGCAGCAGCAGCAGCAGCAGCAGCAGCAGCAGAGAGGTGCAGCAGCAGCAGCAGAGAGGTGCAGCAGCAGCAGCAGCGAGGGGCAGCAGCAGCAGCAGGTGGCTGCAGCAGGAGGCGCGGGCCACTGGGCAGCCACCCCAAACCCCAACCCCCAAACCCTAAACCCCAAACCCTAAACCCTAAACCCTAAACCCTAATCGGACCTCGACGTTGATGGGTTCTGGGAAGTCGAGGTGGCAGTGGTACTGTTTGTCTCCTTTGCTGCAGCAAAAGTCCAAACTCTTTTCTTGCAAATTCACTTTCAAGTTTTCCGGAGAAGAAACTCCAACTGTCAAAAACACAAACGGCTTCCGCTCAGCCCACAGGCACTCCGGCGTGCAAGTCTCCTTCCTGCAGCAGCAGCAGCAGCAGCAGCAGCAGCAGAGGGGTCCAGCAGCAGCAGCAGCAGCAGGGGAGGCCTGCAGCAGCAGCAGCAGCGGTGCTGCGGCGGAGGCGCGCGCGGGGGGTTCCTGGGCGCCGAGCTGCAGCAGCAGCAGCAGCAGCAGGTGCTGCTGCTGCTGCTGCTGCTGCTGGCTGCATGCGGGGCGCGGGCGCGGCAGGCGCCGCAGCAGCAGCAAGCACGGCGTTGCTGCAGCAGCAGCAGCAAATCTGCTGTTGCTGCTGCTGCTGCAGCAGCAGCAGCAGCGCCACCCCGCAGACACCGCAAAGTGCTGCTGAGGGCCGCAGCAGCAAAACAGAAGTTGTTTTGCTGCTGCTGCTTGCGTGGCTGCAGTGTCTATACACCTAAACAACAGCTAATTCCAAACAACCCCAACTCCCCCCTTTCACTACACCCCCTAAACTGCTTATCCCCTGCTGCTGCTGCTGCTGCTGCTGCTGCTGCTGCTGCTGCTGCGGGGGACGCTTACGCCATTTTCAGACGCTGGGCAAAGTGCAGCAATTGCAGAACGCCAAAAAAAAGATTCTCGCACAAAGCCAAACCCTAAACCCTAAACCCTAAACCCTAATCCTTAATTACACCAGCCCGGCTGCTGCACCCACAGCGCTGAGCTGCTGCGGGGCCGCCTCAGCCCTGCAGCCTGCATGGGGGTTTAGGGTTTAGGGTTTAGGGTTTGGGGTTTGGTGCGCTTTGGCCGCGGAATTTAGTGCAATTTACTTATTTTTGCATTTTAATTCTTTAATTTCTTTTTAATTTCAATTTAAACCCCCCAAAAGCTGCAAACCGCGCGGGCGGCTCGCGCGGCCCCCCAGGTGTCTGTACACCTCAGCATGCGCGGTGTCTACGGCCGCCTCTTCGCCGCAAAACGCAATTTTTCGCGGAAATTGAACTTTTAATTTAAATTAAATTATAAATAATGTTTTTTGCGCTGCAAATAAACCCCTGGGGGCCTCCAGCCGCGGCCGCCGGGTGTACAGACACTGTGGGGCGGCTGCTGCATGCCAGACGCACCTAACCCCCACATCAAATGCACTCTTCCTTTTGCTTCTTTTTCGGTTTCTTTTCATTTCTTTTCATTTCTTTTATTTCTTTTATTCTTTTTGCCACTTTACACCGCCCGAGACACGCTCAGAGAGCCGCGCCACCCCCCAGCCCAAACCCTAAACCCTAAACCCTAAACCCTAGTCACTCGCTTACGACCTGCGCAACGAATTAGGTGTACGTACACCTCACTGAGGCCCTCCGCAGCAGCCGGTTTAGGGTTTAGGGCTTGGGGGCTAGGGTTTGGAGAGGGTTTGGGGCGTAGGGTTTAGGGTTTAGGGTTTAGGGTTTAGGGTTTGGGATGAGGAGCGTGGGCGTGGCGTTGGGCATGATGTAGTTTCCGTCAAACCCTAAAAACCCTAATTGGTCTTCTTTGCCAAACCCTAAAAGGACGGATACAGCAGCGCCGGCCATGCTGTGTCCGTACACCGCAACCTGCGGGCCCCACACTTCAAAACTCTCTCTATTTATTCTTTTATTTCTTTTGTTTATTCTTTTATTTCTTTTGTTTATTCTTTTATTTCTTTTGTTTATTCTTTTACTTCTTTTATTTATTCTTTTGTTTCTTTATTTCTTTGTTTTATTTCTTTTGTTTCTTTTGCAAGTTCTTTACTTCAAAGCTCTTTTTGTTTATTTGTTCACATTCTTTTATTTGCTTTATTTGCTTTTATTTGTTTTCTGTTTTTCACTTTTATTTTTGTTTTATTTATCTCCCTTTATTCCATCTGGCTTCTCCTCTTGCATTTCAATTAAATAAATTTAATTCAATTGACTCAATTTAATTCTATTATTCAGTTAATTCGAACTAATTATATTCAATTCAGTTTAATTCAATTTAATTCAATTTAATTCAATTTACGCTTTTGGATCCGCATGCAAATTATTTAGTCATTTACTTTTGTTTTCAGCCGCTTGATGGCATTCATTATTTATTAATACCCTTATTATATCATTATTATTATTATTACTATTATTACTATTATTATTATTATTATTATTATTATTATTATTATTATTATTATTAATTTGATTATTGATATTGCTATTGTTCTACATATATAATTATTGTTATTTAGCCATGAGTTTCCCTAGTGAATGAGTAATTAACTGATTAATTATCCCTAATTAATTAATCAACTTCTCAATTAATCATTGATTTAATTATAGTAAATTATTTATTTAATTAAATTAATTATTTATTTAATTAAAATAACAAACCCGAGGCTTTCTTTCTCCACAAGAAGGGCCGCAAAGCTCTTTGGCGATTTCGCCCACTTTGATGAGGGCTTTGCGCTGTCTGTCCAGACACTCGAGAAAGTTCTCAGCGGGCAGCTGCGGGCACACGAAACAGAAAATATATCTTTTTTTCGCCTTTTTCCGCTTATTTTGTTTTATTTTTCTTTTTAAATGCATAAATATTGCTTTTAAAGCTCCAGAGGGTTTAATTTGCGCCGCTGCTGAAGAAAAAGCGCAAAATTACCCCGCAGACCTGTGTCTGTGCATCAAGTACACCGCTCTCGCCGACTTAACTCTTGAAACCGTCGGAAGTGTTTATTATTTATTCATTTATTTATTATTTATTTATTTATTAGTGTTTTATTGTTTGTTTTTAAGTGCTTCCACGCTTTTAATTCAGTTTTGGCGGCTCCGATTGTGTCCAGTTGGCTGCTGCTGCGTCTCGAGAGCTGTCTGTACACCCCAGCAGCGCGCCCCGCCCAACGGCACGGATGAAGGCGAACGGCGGTTAAAACGAATAAAATAAAAGAATATTTGCATTTAAAATTAAATATTTGAATAGAATAAAAGAATATTTGCATTTAAAATCAAAAATTTGATCTTTAGAACCTAAAAATGGGCTTTTTAGACTTCGAACTCAGCCGCGACGGCGCCTCACTGACACGGGAAAGCGAAGGAAAGAGTGGTTTAAATGGCAAATTGGATTAATTTATGAATTTTAAATTTAAAATTAAATCATTTAAAGCCAAATTCAGACAAAATGCACCAAAAATCTGGACAGAATCAAAAATTCCGATTTGTTCCCCGCCTTTCTGCTCTCTCCCTCCAGTTCTGTTCCCCCAGTGAAAAAGCACTTAGCGAATTAACTTCAATTAATTGATTAAAGACAAAAGACCCCCCCTTAAAAAGCGCTTAGGGTTTAGGGTTTAGGGTTTAGGGTTTAGGGTTTGGGAGTGAATTAATTTAAAGCAATTGGCTTCTTCTTCAGCCAATTGCTTTGAATTAATTCACTCCTAAACCCTAAACCCTAAACCCTAAACCCTAGGGAAATGGCATTAATTAATGGCATTTACTTCTGTTTTCCCCTCGAGCCACTCCGGACTTTGCCAGAGTTGGCTGCAAATCCTGTGGGGCCCTTTTGCCTTAACAACAGCATTTTGTTGCAAGTAAAACAAATGCGCGGGGTCATCTTTTTGGAGGTCTGCCACCTGCAAAAGTTCATTTGGAGAAGCTTTTGAACCACAATTAACACTCCCAAACCCTAAACCCTAAACCCCAAACCCTAAACCCTAAACCCTAGGCCGTAAGTGCTTTTCAACGAGGGGTCTTTTGCCTTTATTCAATTAATTAGAGTTAAGTCTTCAAGTGAATTTTAGGACTTTTGCATTTATAAAAAGTGTCTTTATTCAATTAATTAGAATTAATTCTTCAAATGCCTTTTAAGACTTTTGCATTTATAAAAAGTTATTTTCTTTTCCAACTTTGAATTCCGAAAAAACGCAAAAGTGGCTTTTCTGGCTTTCTGAGGTGTACGTACACTCCACGCACTCCACGCCAAATCGACTTTTCGGGATTTTCACAAAATCCATTTTGGCATTTAAATGGCATTTGCGGCATTTTATTTAAAAGCCATGTTGGGGCCCCTCAGAGTAAATAAAAATAAACAAATAAACAAAAATTAATTCATAATTATCCGTTTATTTGTTTATTAGCGTTTGTTATTATTAACTTATTAGCTGTTTAAATGATTAGGAAATAAACAAATAAATTATTAAATAAATAAATAAATAAATAAATAAATAAATAAAATAAATAAATAAATAAATAAATAAGCGAACAAAGCGAACAAAGCGATTGAAAAATAAAATAATGTGAAATAATAAATAAAATAAATAATGAACAAAACGGCTCCAAATAAACTAAAGAATTAATAGAAAGAAGAAGAATAAATAAATAAATAAACAAAAGGTATAATAAAAGACAAAATAAATAGAAAATAAAAAATAAAAAGATTCAAAGAATTGGACTTTGGCGAAGAATTTGAATTTGAAAAAATAAATAAAAATAAAAAAAAAGATTTCAAAAAGTGAAGAAGCAAAACCCTAAAAAGTGTTTCTGGCCTTTTGGTTGTCCCATTCGCCGAACGCCATTTCCGCGAGTTCGGGCAAAACCCTAAAAAAGGGTTTAGGGTTTGCGTCCACGAAGGGCTGCGCGGTTTGCACTGCTCGCAGCAGCGGAGAAGACAGCAGCAAATCCGGAAGGAATTCTTTTGCTGCTGCCATTGCTGCTAGTTTTGCTGCTGCTGCTGCTGCTTGCTGCTGCCCCTGCTGCGTCAGCTGGTTGTTTGCATAGTCCACTTGGCCCTGAAAAATTCAAAATCCTTTTTGAATTTCTTTTTTCAAATCTTTATTTCTTTTATTTAATTCCATATTTAATTCACTTTTAATTCCCTTTTTGTTCCCTTTTGCTTCTTTAATGCAAATAAAGCAAATAAAGATCTTTAAGGGGAATTTTGTTCTTCGAATTCAACACAATTGCTGCTCTCAGGGGCAAACTTGCACTATTTTGGATGCTTTTCGCGCGAAAAAGACTTTTTTAGAAATTAAATTCAAAAAAAAACATTTAAAATGGTACTTTTGTCTATTTATTTGGGGAAAAAGGCGAAAAGTGCAGCAGCAGCAGCAAACCTGAAACACCCGGGGCTCCGTGTTGCCCTCCGTCTTGCCGTGGCGGATGTAGCAAATTTCCACGGGAAGCTCCAGCGGTTGGAATTCTTTTTTGTATTTTATTCTTCCGTTTTCTAAATTCAATTCAAGTTTCAAATCTTCTGCAATTTGCTGCCAGCGGCGGAGGTCTTCCGGCGCGGCCTCGCGCAGGAACCGCCCGTACGCCTCCAGCTGCTGCGGAATGCAGCTTTTTATCTCCTCATAACGCCGGGAAAGCAACTCCGGAGTCCACGCAGCCTCCGCCATTCTCAATACTTGCAAATTCGCGAAAAAAAGAAGAAAAAAGAACAAAAAATGAGCGAAAACGAAGTCTGAAAAGGCGGACTGCGCCACCTGCGCATACACCCGGCGCACTGCACGTACACCCGAGCAGCTTCAGCGCGCGAAATAAAACTGAAATCGAACCAATTTTTGTTCTTTTTCTTTTTTTAATTTATTTCAACCTTTTAATTCACATTTAAAGTTATTTTCCCCGCTTTTTCCGCTTTTTCCGCCTTAAAATTGCGCCAAGACAGCCGCCTGACCACTGGGGAGCACCACCGGGCACTGCAGCGAAAACGGACAAAGAAAGCGGCAGAAACGAAACAAAAACAAAAATAAACAATTTAAATATTATATTTTAATCAATAAATTAAACTAATCTGCAAATAAATGCATTTAAAGCTCATTTTGATGAAAAGATCTTCAAAAACTCCACCCTGCCTCTCCCTGAACTGCTGCTTAGCTGCTCATTTAGATAATTAACTGCCGCATTCTTCGCTTTCTATTTAACTTATAATTCAAATTTATTTTTAATAATTCAATTTTCAAAAGTTTTGCAAAATTTTTATTTTATTAACCACTCAAACCCTCCCTCTCCTAGTGAAGTGCAAAGCGGGTGAAAACAACCTCTAAACCCTAAACCCTAAACCCTGAGGACAAAAATGTATACTCTAAACCCTTAACCCTGAAGTACTGAACGTAAACCCTAAACCCTAAACCCTCGAAAACTACCCCAAAAAGCTAAGCACCTACACCCGAAAGCCGTAACCCCATATCCTAAACCCCAAACCATAAACGCTAAACCCTAAACCCTAAACGCTAAACCCTAAACCCTAAACCCTAAACTCTAAATGCTCTCGAGACTTCCTTCAGCTGCTGTCTTTGGGGTCGGCGGTTTCGCATTAGGGTTTAGGGTTTGTTCGAGACACAACGCTCAGTTGCCTAGGGTTTAGGGGCTAAACCCTAATCCTCAAACCCTAAACCCTAAACCCTAGCGTGAGTGAAGGCGTTTCGCGCTGCAGCCCTAAACCCTAAACCCTAAACCCTAAACCCTAGAGCGCGTCTTGATATCCAGCTCGGCAAAGGAGTGCAATTAAATTAAATAAATAAAAAATAAAAATTCAAATGAGACAAGAAGACTAATAAAAACAAAATGGAAAATAAGAGTTTGCAGAGAAAAGACAAGGGACAGGATAACGCCAAAACAAACCCTAAACCCTAAACCCTAAACCCTAAACCCTAGGCACTCGGTGTTCAACACTTCCCCAAGTATGCCCCTGCAGCTCCACACGCAGCAGCAGCAGCAGCAGCAGCTGCTGCTGCTGCTGCTGCTGCAACCCGCTGCAGCAGGCGAGCAGCAGCACCAGCTGCAGCTCTTCCCTCCCGCTGCCGCTGCCGCCGTCGCTGCTGCTGCTGCTGCTGCTGCTGCTGCTGCTGCTGCTGCGCGTTTGCTGCGAGGAAAGGAGACTAGTCTGTAGAAAAATAAAAGGTCTAAAGATAACTGGAAGTTTAGTCCCTGTCTCTTTTGCTGCTTTTGTGTCTCCTCCTTTCGTTGCTTCTGCTGCGGCTTCTCCTGTGTCTCTCCTTTTTGTCATTATCTGTGGGGCCCCACTCGCCGGTGTACATGTTCCTGCTGCTGCTGCTGCTGCTGGCAGCAGCAGCAGCAGCAGCAGCAGCGAAGCGCGCCTCGCGGGCGCCCTCGGCCTCGGAGCGCAGGCCGCCGCCGTGCTGCTGCTGCTGCTGCTGCTGCTGCTGCTGCTGCCAGTCCCCCTGCAGCCGCCGCACTTCAGCATTTGTCAACTGTCTCCTTCCTTGCTGCTCTGCTGCTCTGTCGTCGTGGCCCCAGTGTCCCCTTTTGCTGCCGCGGGGTTCTCCAGTGAGGGGGTCTGCTTGCTGCAGCAGCGCAGCAGCAGCAGCAGCAGCAGCACCTCCTGCAGCAGCAGCAGCAGAGTCCTCCAGCCCGTGGCCTGTCCGCATGGACCCGTGCGTCGGGTGCTCAAACGTCTTCTCCGTTGCAGCAACAAAGTTCATTTCCCCCTCAGCCTGCAGCAGCAGCAGCAGCAGCAGCAGCAGCAGCAGCAGCAGCAGCAGCAGAGGATTAGTAGTAGCAGCAGCACAGTAGGGGTAGTGGTGGAAGCAGCAGCAGCGGTGGCAGCAGCAGCAGCACCCGCAGCAGCAGTAAGGGTAGTAGCTGCAGCAGCAACAGTAGCAGCAGCAGTATTACTAGCAGCAGCAGCAGCAGCAGCAGCAGCAGCAGCAAGACACAACTGGAGAAGAGACAAAAAGACAAAGAGAAGGGAAATATGAAATAAAAAGAAATAAATAAAAAATAAAATAAACAAGAAAATAAATAGAATAAAGAAAAGAAACAAAAGAATAGATGGAGAGACCCCAAAAAGACACGTTAAAGAAAATAAGAAAAAGATATAAAATAAATAAAATAAATGAAAGAGATAAAAGAAAGAAATAAAAGAAATAAATAAAAGAAATAAATAAAAGAAATAAATAAAAGAAATAAATAAAGAAAGAAGTAAAAGAAATAAATAAAAGAAATAATAAAAATAAAAAAATAAATGAAATAATGAAATGAAAAAAAAGACAAACCATAAGTTCTTCTTTTGCTGCTCTTTCCTCTCGCGTCAAGTTCGCCGGGGTCACCTAAAGAAATAAACAAAACAAATAAAAATAAATAAATTAATTAATTGAAATAATAAAAGAAATAAACAAATTAATTAATTAATTAATTTGAATAAATAAATAGATAATAAATAAATAAATAGTTCACTGGGGCCACCCAAAATAAGGCTCGAGAGTGAAAAGGAGAAAAAGAAATTCGAGAAGTTTTATCTTAGACAATAAATTGAATAATAAAATGTAAAAAATAAATAAATAAACTGATTAATTAATTAGATGTACATTGAATAATTATACAATTAAAGAACTAATTAATTAAATAATAAGATGTAAAAATAAATAAATAAACTGATTGATTAATTAGATATACATTGAATAATTATGTAATTAAAGAATTAATTAATTAGATAATTAAATGATTAAATATTTGAAAAAGTAATTAAATTAAACTGGAGGAAAAAATGAATTAAGTGGATTAATTCATCAAAGCGAATTAAAACAAATGGAAAATAAAACAAATCAAAGTAAATATAATTTGAAACAAAATAAAATAAATGAAATAAACAAAATGAAATAAACAAAACAAATCAAAAAATAAATAATTTAAAAGCACAATTAAACCAAACCCCAAAAGTGGTGAAGTCCGGAAAAACCCAAAAAGTGGAGAAGTAGAAATAAAGTTAAAACTAAAAGATTAAATGGGACTTTAAAGGTGCATTCAGAAGCTAAATAAATAAATAAATAAATAAATAAATAAATAAATAAATAAATAAATAAATAATTGCACTAATTTGTTAATTAATTAATCAATTAGGTAATTAATCAAAAAATAGACAAAAAACAGAAAGAACTGGATAAAATGGATCTTCCATTAAATCAATTTGAGCCAAAGTTCTAGAAAATTGCAAACACAAAGATTAAGTTAATTTGCAGTTAATAAGTAAAAGGCACTCAAACCCTAAACCCTAAACCCCAAAAAGGCGGTTAATGAACTAATCCGACACCTTCAAATGAAACGAAATGAGATGGAATCAAACTAAATAATAAATCAAATAAAATGATATAATAAAAATTAATTAAATAAAATAAAACTACGCCAAACAAAATCAAATCAAATAACAGATAAATCAAAGAATTAAACAAAGCAGGCCAATTAAATTAAATTAAAACAAACTAAATTAACCCACACTAAATTAAATTAAATTAAATAATTAAATTAAATAATTAAATTAAATTAAATGATTAAATTAAATGATTAAATTAAATAATTAAATTAAATAATTGAATAATGCAAAATAGACAAAAACCAAACGAGAAATTAAAACCCAAGCCAACAAAACCGAATTAAACAATTACAGCGAGTTAAACCCACCAAACTGCACCGAATTAACTGAATTAAATTAAATTAAATTAATTAAATTAATTAATTAAACCGAATTAATTAAATTAAATAATTAAATTAATTAAATTAATTAATTAAATTAATTAAATTAATTACCGCCACAGTTCTCCCATTGACAAGACGGCCGTCGCACTCGAGGGCTTTTTTGGCGGACTCGGCATCGCCGAATTCGACGAAGGCAATTCCCCTCACGGAATAAGCTCCTGAAGGAAAAATTAAATGGAATTAATTAATTATTTAATTAAAATAATTAATTATTTAATTAAAAATTAATTATTTAATTCATTTAATTCATTAAATGAATTAAACAATGAGTCCGCTCCTCTGCGCATTTTGCCAATCAAACGCGACAAAATCCGGCTTCGGGAAAGCTGCTGCGTCAGCAGCAGCAGCAACAGCAGCAAAGCCAGCAGCAGCAGCAGCAGCAGCAGCAGCAGCAAGCCTGCAGCAGCAGCAGCAGCAACTTCCTAGTCAGGGAATCTGGGTCTTTTGACTTAAGGAGTGGTTATGGCAACACCAGCAGCAGCAGCAGTAGCAAGACCAGCAGCAGCAGCAACAGCAGCAACAGCAGCAGCAAGACCAGCAGCAGCAGCAGCAGCAGCAGCAGCAGCAGCACCTTCATAGTCTGGAGGAATGGATCTGTCGACTTGGGGAATGATAATGGATTTTATATTTCCCACTTCCGCGAAAAGTTCGCACAAGTCGTAGCGGCTGGTGCTGTAGGCGAGGCCCCCCACAAACACCTGCGCCAAACCACGAATTAGGGTTTAGGGTTTAGGGTTTGCGCTTTGGGGACCCCGCCCGCAGCCGCACATGCGGCTTCCAACCAACTTCTAAACCCTAAACCCTAAACCCTAGACCCCAAACCCTAGAGCCGCTCCACAGGCGGCTTTGAGAAGCCGCCGTCTTCAGCGCCGCGGCCGCCGCGAGGGTTTAGGGTTTAGGGTTTAGGGTTTGGCTCACCTTAGTGAGACTCTTAGTGGACATTCCTGCTGCTTCGCTGACTTGATCATTTAATAAATTAATTTCTCTGTTCAGCTCTCTGCCGCGCCGCTGGAGGTAATCCACCACGGAAGTGGTGTCGATCTGCGCACAAACCCTAAACCCTAAACCCTAAACCCTAAACCCTAAACCCTAAACCCTAGACCCAGGCGGGTGACTGCCTTGCAGGCTCTGCGAGGCTGCATGCGTTCAAGGCGCAAACAAGCAGGCACGACCTGTAGCCAACGCCTAAACCCCAAACCCTAAACCCTAAACCCCAAACCCTAAACCCTAAACCCTAAACCCTAAACCCTAAACAACCCTGGTCACCTCAAGGAGGTAGTGACGGCTAGACGCGCCCAAACTGAAGCTGTCGTTGGTTTGCATCTGCACTCCCACGTGGTCGTGGTCTAGAGGCATGCCGTTCCTGCCAACGCAAAACCCCAAACCCTAAACCCTAAACCCTAAACCCTAAACCCTAAACCCTAAGCCCTAAAACCTAAACCCTCAACCCTAACCCTGGCACCCCAGACACTCACAAGCTGCACAAGAGCCCCGCACGCGCTTTCCCCCAACCCCCGACCCCCAAACCCTAAACCCTAAACCCTAAACCCCCACCCCAAACCCTAAACCCTAAACCCTAGCTGACTTGAACGTCTTTGCTTTGCTCTTCAAGTCAATCAAAAGCACATGTCCCCCTTTCAAAACCACCAAAGCTGCATGGCGCCTGGAGACGGAAGGGTTTAGCGCCACCAAGTCGTTGTCTGCCAGCTTCCCTGCGCGCAGCAAACCCTAAACCCTAAACCCTAAACCCTAAACCCTAAACCCTAAACCCTAAATCTGAGCCGCGGGTTGGCCCTCCCGCACCGCAACAAGCTCCCCCTTCTGTTCCTTCCTCCCCCCCAACCCCAAGCCCCACGCCCCAAACCCCAAACCCTAAACCCTAAACCCTAAACCCTAAACCCTAAACCCTAAACCCTCGACGCACCAATGCGGTAGAAGGACTTGCCGCGCAGCAAGATCTCGACAGTGGTGGAGTCTCCTTCTCTTCTTTCCAAAAGTCTCAAAACTGGAAGAGACCTTTCTTCTGTTTCTATATCGTGGCAAATGACCAGCCACGCTGCACGCGCGGCGCCCAAAACTAGGGTTTAGGGTTTAGGGTTTAGGGTTTAGGGTTTACGGCTCGCCGCGCGAGCTCCTGCCGCGCGCCCCAGGCGACGCCGCAGCGCCAAGCCTCAACCAACTCCCCAAACCCTAAACCCTAAACCCTAAACCCTAAACCCTAAACCCTGCCGGCGCCCCGCTGAGTCGCGCCGCGCGCGGCCCTTTATCCACACCCTAAGCCTCAAGCGCTAAACCCTAAACCCTAAACCCTAAACCCTAAACCCTAAGCGCTAGACCCCAGGCCCGCCCCTGCAGCTGCGCGTCCGCGGCCGCCCGTGCCGCCCGCGCCCCCAGCGCAAACCCTAAACCCTAAACCCTAAACCCTAAACCCTAAACCCTACACTCGAGCTCCGTGTCTTCGAGAATGTTTTGTCTTATTTCCATTAAAATTCTTCCCAAGTGGTTTTGTCCTCTCGAGTGACTTGTTTGTCCAAAGAAAGCATCTCCAGTGTTTAGCCAAACGAGTTCCCTGCCCCCCGTCTGCTTCAGCTTCTCCCGCAGCTCTGCGCGCAAACCCTAAATTAGGGTTTAGGGTTTACGCCTCCGCACGGCGCCCCCGAGAAGCCGCACGCGCGCCACCCACCCGCGAGGGTTTAGGGTTTAGGGTTTACAACCCCAAACCAAAACACCGGCGAAACCAACAACAACAAAATCAAACAAACCCAAACCCCCAAACCCTAAACCCCAAACCCCAAACCCTAAACCCCAGACCCCAAGCCCTAAACCCCAGACCCCAAACCCTAAACCCTAGGCCGGGCCCAGGATTGTTTGCGAGGGTTTAGGGTTTGTTGAGGTGTATGTACACCTGGATTCCTTCGAAACTTGTCTCTCTGAATCAGCTCCATCCATTTTAGGCGGTAGCGCGGCCAGTCCGGGTCTTCCTGCGCCAAACCCTAAACCCTAAACCCTAAACCCTAAACCCTAAACCCCAAACCCCAAACCCTAAACCCTAAACCCGAATCCCAAACAGTGTGCCTTTCTCTAGGGTTTGTGTATGCATGTCTGGCGGCGCGCGGGCCGTCGGGGCTGAACGGCCGCGCCTGCTTGCAGCTAGGGTTTAGGGTTTAGGGTTTAGGGTTTGGCGGGCCTGCTTGGTCTTGGCGAGCTGCTTGAGGGTTTTGGTGTCTGCTGCTGCAGCGAGGGTTTCAACTGCAGCAGGGTGTTTTGCTGCCAGCAGCGCGTGGCGCGCAGAAGCAAAAAACCTTCCTTGAAAATAAATGAGAGAAGGAAAGTCCAAAGAAAGGAATTTGAATTCTCCGTTGAAGGAGTCGATTCGGGTGTACAGACACCTGGCGGCTGCGGCGAGGTTGGCCGGCGACAGCAGCTGCGCCGCTGCTGCTGCTGCTGCTGCTGCTGGCGCCCCTGCTGCTGCTGCTGCTGCTGCTGCTGCTGCAGCGGCGGCTGGGCCGCTCGAGCCGCTGCTCGAGACAGACCCTCCGGCGTACGGCGCAGCCATAGGCACAGCCGCCACGCGAGGGTTTAGGGTTTAGGGTTTAGGGTTTAGGGTTTGGGGGTTGGGGGTTGGGTCCCTGCAGCGACACGGGACGAGAGAGCGACTGCGGACGCCGACGAGGGTTTAGGGTTTAGGGTTTAGGGTTTGGGGTTTGGGGTTTGCGGCCGCGACAACCAGCCGCAGGCCGCAGGGCCTCGCTAACCCCAAAGCCGCAGCGCAGCGGAAACCCCAGGACCTCGGCCTAGGGTTTAGGGTTTAGGGTTTAGGGTTTAGGGTTCACAAACGCGCCTCCGCAAGCCCGTAAACCCTCAAAAACTGCAAACCACTTTTTCTTCAACAACAAAAATATACGCTCCACCCAAACCCGAAGCCCTACAGCCCTCCCAAACCCTAAACCCTAAACCCTAAACCCTAAACCCCTCCTGCGCATGCAGGCGCGTCGGCCTCTCCGCTTCCCCAGCCTCGGCCTCCCGCTAGGGTTTAGGGTTTAGGGTTTAGGGTTTACGCTTCGCCTCAAAATTATTTTTTATTAAAAAAAAAACTTTAAACAAACCCTAATGCACAACAGAAGATGCAGCAGCGCCCCTCCGCTCAGAACCGCTCCCGATGCTTCGGGGCCTAGGGTTTAGGGTTTGGGGTTTAGGGTTTAGGGTTTAGGGTTTCAAGTGCCTTCTTCTTTAACCTCTACCAAACCCTTTACAGAAGCAACTTGAGACGACCACCAAAACTGGTGCCCGAACCCCTAGGAACCCCTGAGCCCCAAACCCTAAACCCTAAACCCTAGACCTTAGACTCTAAACCCTAAACCCTCAACCCTAAACCCTAAACCCTCCTCAATAGGCTTCAAACACTCATTGCCCTGCCTCAGCTACTTCCCGCGGCCTGCAGCTAGCCACAGTTTCCTACAGCTAGCTAGATTGCTGCTGCTTGCTGCAGCTAGCTAGCTGGCAGCTGCTTGCTGCAGCTAGCTGGCTAGCTAGCCGTGGCTAGCCCTAGCTAGCTACCTAGCCGTGGCTAGCCCTAGCTAGCTAGCCGTGGCTAGCCATAGGCAGCTAGCTGCAGCTGGCCCTGGCTAGCTAGCTGCGGCTAGCCACAGCTAGCTAGCCAGGGCCAGCCACAGCTAGCCACAGCTAGCTAGCCCGAGGTGGCCCGAGCTAGCCCCAGGCAACTTCAGAAGGTCCCAGCTAGCCATAACTAGCCATAGCTAGCTAGCCAGGGCCTTGACACAGCTAGCCAGAGCTAGCCATAGCCAGCCCTAGCTAACCATAGCTAGCTACAGCCCGCCCTAGCTAGCCACAGCTAGCTGGAACCAGCCACAGCTAGCCACAGCTAGCCATGGCTAGCCCCAGCCAGCCCTAGCTAGCTGCAGCTACTGCTACAGGTAGCCACAGCTAGCCGCAGCTAGCCGTCGCTAGCTGCAGCTAGCCACAGATTGTCGTAGGCAGCTGCAGCAAGCCGTAGCTAGCTGCAGCAAGCCGTAGCCAGCTGCAGCAAGCCATGGCTAGCTGCAGCTAGGGAGGGAGAAGGCAACGGGAGCCGAGGCAGCAGCGCATAGCCAGCTGCAGCAGCAGCTGCGGCAGTGGCTGCTGCAGCAGCTGCTGCAGCAGTTGCTGCAGCAAATAAAGCAGCAACTGAAGCAGTAACTGCAGCAGGGGTTCCTGCAGCAACCGAAGCAGCAGCTGCTGCAGCAAAAGTTCCTGGCGTAGACTCAACTGCGGCAGCAACAGCTTGGGGTTTACGAGCCTAAGCAGCAGCAGGTGCAGCAGGTGCAGCAGCAGCAGCAGCAGCAGCAGCAGCAGCAGCAGTACTTCGCTGGTCTTTTGTGCAGTGAATTTTTGGGATTTGTTTGCTTTTATTTGCCTGTGCACTTGCCCAAACTATTTGAAAAGACAAGTATTTAATTAATTTCTTTATTTGTTTTTACTTCCACTTAAAATGCCCATTTGTTTTATTTGTTTTCCGAAAGTGGGAGGGAAAAGGAGTGCGCTGGGGTGTACGTACACCTCAGCGCGGCGCTGGGGTGTACGTACACCTCAGCGCGGCGCGTTGGCTGCGTCGGCGAAGTGGAAATTTGGGAATTTCGGCGGAATTTGGCGGAATTTTTGCGCGAAAAGGTTGAAATTAAAAGAATTAAATGAAATAAAATGAAAATTCCGTCGAAAGAAGGTATTAAAGTCGGCGAGAAGCAGCAATTTGGGTTTTCGGGTTCGCAGACTCACTTGGGAAGCTGAATTGCTGCTGCAGCACCTTCGCCGCGGCCCATTTGCAAAAACTTCTGCGGCCCCACAGCTTCATTTAAAGGAATTAAAGTGCTGCTGAGGGGCACAACAGCAACAGCTTTAGTGTTTTTGAAATCGTAGAGTTTGTTGTAGCAGTCGAGGGGCTGCACGAGGCACTGCGACTCTGCTGCAGCAGCAGCAGCAGCAGCAGCAGCAGCAGCAACCAGCAGCAGCACCTGCACGCCCGGCGCCTCCGCAGCCTCGAAGTTCTCCAGCAGCATCAACTTCGACGGATATTCATTTGCAATTGTTATGAACTTCACAAAACCCTCGCAAAAACGGTTGCTTTCCTGAACACCACTCCAAACCCTAAACCCTAAACCCTAAACCCTACACCCTCACCACGGCCTTAGTAAAAAGGGTTTGTCTCCCTCCATGGAATTGCCACTAAGGGTTTGAGCCCAACCCTACCCCTAAACCCTAAACCCTAAACCCTAAACCCTAAGCCCTAAACCGTAAACCCTAAACCCTAAACCGTAAAACCTACCCTAAACCCTAAACCCTACCCGTAAACCCTAAACCCTAAACCCTCACCACGGCCTTTGTAGAAAGGGTTTGTCTCCCTCCATTGACTTTATATTTATGTCCCGGAATTGCCACTAAGGGTTTGAGCCCAACCCTACCCCTAAACCCTAAACCCTAAACCCTAAGCCCTAAACCGTAAACCCTACCCCTAAACCCTAAACTCTACCCGTAAACCCTAAACCCTAAACCCTCACCACGGCCTTTGTAAAAAGGGTTTGTCTCCCTCCATTTACTTTATATTTATGTCCCGGAATTGCCACTAAGGGTTTGAGCCAGGCCAAAGCATTTAGTTGGGGACTTGTGCTCCACTGCGCGTAGATGGTGTCGGTGCTTTTGTCGTACCTGCGGACAAAATTAGGGTTTAGGGTTTAGGGTTTAGGGTTTAGGGTTTAGGGTTGGCGTTGCCTCCCGGAGCCAAAGGCGCAGCCTCCAGGATGTTGCTCAAGGAGCGCTGGAAGTGAAGAAAGAGCCAGGCCTAGGGTTTAGGGTTTAGGGCCAACAGCTTAGGGTTTAGGGTTTAGGGTTTAGGGTTTAGGGTTTAGGGTTTAGGGTTTACATGAGGAACACGCCGTCCTCTATGGGAGCTTCAAGAGGGACCGAGGTGCGCCTTGCGCGTTGCGAAGTTGGGGCCTGACATACAAAAACCCTAAACCCTAAACCCCAAACCCTAAACCCTAAACCCCAAACCCTAAATCCTCCGCTCTGGAACCTTCTCACCAACCCCCTGAGCCACTTCTGCTGTGGAGTGCAGCAGCTTTCTCTGAGTGACATGATTTTATAGAATAGACAGGCCTTTAGGGTTTAGGGTTTAGGGTTTAGGGTTTAGGGTTTACCGTCATAGGCTTTTTGACTGGAGCCTCTTCTTTCGTAACTACTGGGGGTTCCCACTTGTGTCCCGTTCCTACTGGGGCATCATTTGCTGCTGCTGCTGGTGCTGCTGCTGCTGCTGCTGCTGCAGGGGTGGCCTCGTTTGCCTGGGGTTGGCTGCTGCTGCTGCTGCTGCTGTCGCCCTGTGCGTCTGCTGCTGCTGCTGCTGGCGCTGCTGCTGCTGCTGCTGGAGCTGCTGCTGCTGCTGACCCCGAGGCCCCTTGGGGCCCCTGGGGCCCCTCCAAAGCCTCGGCCTTTTCCTCCGTCTGGAGGTCGCCGCGGGAGGCAGTATCGGCGCAGCAGCAAGAGAACATTTTGAGGGTTTAGGGTTTAGGGTTTGGTGGTTAGGGTTTGGGCAGTAGTGGCTATTCTTGAATCTACTGAAATAAAGGAATAAAAGAAGGAAAAGACTCCGGGAGGAAGGAAGACTCTGCTGCTGCTGGGACAGCTGAAGCTCGGGTGTACATACACCTCAACAGCCAAACCTCCGCGGCGCCTCGGCAATGACAACTGCAGCAAAAATTAAAATAACAAAATGCACACAAATTAATGCAAATAGTTGACAAAAGGAAATATAAACTCGGGTTCAAGAGCAGAGAGGCCCAGCTGCTGCCGGTGGACCAGCAACGGCTGCGGCGAGGGTTTAGGGTTTAGGGTTTAGGGTTTGCGTTGGGGTTGAAAGCACCGACGCAATCCGCATCTAATTGCATCCCTGAATTTGTTTTTGCATTAATATTCCACTTTTGAAACTCGCAACAAACACCAGTGGCAGTTTTAAGTAGAAGGAGCCTCGCCCGTGGGTTGCGGGCGCTGGGTTTCAGGTGTATGTACACTGCGCTCGCGTACACACCACCGGCGAGGACCCCTCGCCTCCCGCTTCCCCTGGCCTCAAACAAACGCTAATTTCCACTTTATTTTATTTATTTTATTCCTTTTTCTTTGTCTTTTCCCGATTTCGCGCCGCGACTTGCGCCGCCACCCCCGCCGCTCGCAGCCGCACTGTTCAGGTGTACGTACACCTCAACATGGCGCAGCGCTGAGCCGCAACTTCCCACTTCTCTCCTTATGGCTTCTGCCTTTCTTCCTGTCGCCTTCCTGCGCCCTTGCTTTGGGGGCCCCCCCGGCCTTGGGGGCCCCCTGGCCGTTGGGGGCCCCCTGGGCTTTGGGGGCCCCCTGCGCCTAGGGGGCCCCCTGCGAGTTGGGGGCCCCGTGGGGGCCCCCCCGAGGGCCCCTGCGGCATCTCAGAGATGCATTTGGCTGTGTAGCGCTGCAGCTGCGACCCTGGGGGGCCCCCCCTCTGCCCGAACCCAGCAGTGTGCCCTTGGGGGCCCCCCCGCGGCCAAGCCAGGGGCCCCGGGGGCCCCCGGGGGCCCCCTCCCCCAGGGGGGCCCCCAGCGCGGGGGCCCCCCCCAGGGGGCCCCCTGTGGGCCTTTGGGGCTTTTTAGCTGCTCCCAGCGGCGGCTGAGCTGCATGCATGCATCGGGGGTTCGTTTGTTTGCGCCCAAGAAGAAAAAGGGTACTGGGGGGGCCCCCGGGGGGCCCCCCGGGGGGCCCCCCGGGGCCCAGGAAGGCGGCGAGGGGGCAAAAGGAGGGTACGATCATGTTTTTAATATTTACAAAGAAATAAATGAAGACCACAAATTGCTTGAAGATAAATTCTACCCCAAGTGGCTCTGGGGCCTCCACAATAAGCCCAAGAGCTACGGGGAGCTGGCGCTGGTGTTTCTCTACGGCAAAGTGAGCCTAGGGTTTAGGGTTTAGGGTTTAGGGTTTAGGGTTTGGCGCGCCGCTGCCGGCGGATTCCTCCCGCAGCCCCGCCGCCGCAGTTTCTTAGCCATTCTTATTAATTTATTTATTATTAATTAATTGATTATTTATTTATTTATTTATTTATTTATTTATTTATTTATTTATTTATTTGTTTATTCTTTCAGGGTATAGAAACAGCCACAGCAATGGACTATTTGCGTTTCTGCCGTCTTCACCGCAAAACGCAAATCCAGCTGAACAACGCGAGACTCAAAAAGAGCAAAAGAAACTCCATTAAACCCATCTTCTGGGACGTCTAAACCCTAAACCCTAAACCCTAAACCCTAAACCCTAAACCCTAGGCTCTAGGCCCTGGGTCGGGGCCCTGGGCGCTGAAGGAGGCTTGAGCGCTGAGTTGCAGCGCGAGAGCCTACACGCGCAAGAACTCTAAACCCTAAACCCTAAACCCTAAACCCTAAACCCTCGCTCCTTAAAGGAGAGAGCGTCTGCTTCTTTTTAGATCTATTTCTTATTTCTTTTATGACCTGGAGAACAAAGCAGGAGCAGCAGCAGCAACAGCAGCAGCAACAGCAGCAGCAGCAACAGCAGCAGCAGCAACAGCAGCATTAGGGGCCTCCAGTCCCTGCGGGTCGCTTGCGCGCAACGAGGGTTTAGGGTTTAGGGTTTAGGGTTTGGGGCAGAGGTACGAACAAAGAACAAAAGAGAATTAAAGAAAAAACGAAAAAAGAATAAAGAGACACTAAGGAAACAATAAATAGAAAGAATAAAAAAAGAATAGAAATAACAAGAAATTAAAAGAAAAGAAAAAACAAAAAATATATTTTAGGGGGCATTAAGAGACAATTGAAGGAACAGAAAAAGAAATAAATAAATTAAAGAAAAAGGAAAAGAAAAAAGAAAACAAATAAAAGGACAAAAATGGGACAAAGAAAAGCCACGGAGGAGATAAAATAAAACAAAAAAAGGGACAAATGAAAAGACAAAAAGGAGATAAAATGAGACAATTAAAAAGCCAAAAAGGAGATAAAATGAAACAAAAAAGAAACAAAGAAGGAAATAAAAAACTACAATTAAAAAGACAAAAGGAGACGAACAAAAGGACAAAAGGAGACAATTAAAAGGGCAAAAAGAGACAAATAAAAAGAAAAGAAACAAATAAATTAAATAAATAAAAAGGAGAGAATTAAGACGAACTTTGAAACTGAGTTTTCGATGCGCTGGGGGCTGTTGCCGATAAATAAAATAAATAAAATAAATAATAAACAAATAAAAAGTAAATAATTAACTAACAAATAATAAATAAATAAATGATAAATAAAAAATAAATAATAAATAAATAATAAATAATAATAATTAATAATAATAAAACAAACAACTATAATAGATAAAAGATTTAAAAGAAGAAATTAAAAAGTTTGTCCCACCCACGCCGGCACTCCCTTGCTGCTACGCCTTTTCATTTATTTCTTCTAATTAACTAATTAAAATAAATAAATAAATAAAATAAAATAATTAGTTAAAATAAATAAATAAAATAATTAATTAAAATAAATAAATAAATAAAACAATTAATTAAAATGAATAAATAATTAAATTTATTCATTTCTTGCGTGAGTCCCGTCGGGCCTTATCTTAGCAGCAAAGCGCTGCAGGTTCCGCCGGGTGGACCTGCGGCGGCCCCAGCTGATGCTGCTGCTGCTGCTGCTGCTGCTGCTGCTGCTGCTGCTGCTGTTTTCTTTGTTGTTGCTGCTGCTCTTGAGGAGGGCGAGGTAGGGGGAGCTGCGAAAGAGAGTTTTGCTGCTGCGGCTGCACAG